TGCCCACACCGCGCTCAGCCAGTGAGCGGGAACCAGTCTCCACATGGGATCCGAACCCTCAGCGGGAGCGCCGCCGCACTCCCAAGCGGCGCACTCTCCAGTGCGCCACCGGGCCGGCCCAAGGATTTTCTTTTTAATCAACATTAAATTCAATTTACTGAGTTAACATTAGTTGAGATTTGACTATATTAACTACAAAATTTTGCAAATGTGAGGACTAAAATGTATTTGTAAAAGCAATGCTAAATGATCATTTTACGTTGCTCTTGTTTTTCAGAAGCCTTAGCAACCTTTTCCCCATGCTGACTGTCCCTAACTTGCTGTTTTCCACAGATCTACTGTCTATTATCAGCAAGTCCTCAAAAATTGTTACATTCCAGGAAGGTAACCGTCAATTCTCCTAATACCCATCCTGCCCTTTTCAGGTTATATCTTGGTTTTCCCACAAAGCAATGCAATTAAAATAAAACAGGATTTAATACTATGTTATAGAACAGTGGCTCTCAAACTTTAGTGTACTCTTAGGAATTATTAAAACATAAATTGCTAAAACAATAATCACCTGGGAGAATTACTCAAACACAAATTGCTGGGCCTCACCCCCAAAGTTTCTGATTCACAATATCTGGGGTGGGGCCCATGAATTTGCTTTACTAAGAAATTCCCTCCTGGGCCGGCCCGGTGGCGCACTGCTACAGTGTGCCGCTTGGGAAGCACGGTGGCGCTCCCGCCGAGGGTTCGGATCCCACATACAGACTGGCCGCTCACTGGCTGAGCGAGGTGCGGGAGCAACACCAAGGGTTGCGATCCCATTGCTGGTCCCGGTCCGGTACGGGCGCAACACTGAGGGTTGCGATCCGTTGCCGGTCACGAAAAAAGACAAAAAGGAAAAAAAAAAAAAAAAGAAATTCCCTCCTGATACTGATAATGACTGTTCTAGGAACCATCATACATAGAGGGTTCTAGATCTGCACTTTACAATATAATAGACACAAGCTTCACATGGCTATTTGCATTAATTAAAACTCAAGAAAATTAAAAATTCAATTCCTCAGTTGCACCACCTACATTTTAAGTACATGTGGCTAATATCCTACTGTATTGGACAAATATAAAACGTTTCTATCATCTCAGAAAATTTTACTGAACAGCACTGATCTACATAATTGATTCATTATCCTTCTTATACTTTTGTTCATTCAAACTCTGGGTACTCAACTTTACCAAGCCTACACAAAAAAAAACCTGTCATTATTACATGTCCCTAGGATGATTTTTACCTCCCACATATCTTCAGCAAGAAACACCATAATATTGCTAAAAACAAAGACACAGAAATCAGGCAGATATTAGTTTAAATCCTGGCTCTGGGCTGGTCCGTGGCTCACTTAGGAGAGTGTGCTGCTAATAAACACCAAGGCCACAGGTTCGGAACCTATGTAGGGATGGCCAGTTAGCTCACTGGGTGAGTGTGATGCTGACAACACCAAGTCAAGGGTTAAGATCCCCTTACCAGTCATCTTTGAATGAATGAATGAATGAACGAATGAATGAATGAACGAACAAACAAACAAATAAATAAATAAAATAAATCCTGGCTCTGCTGCTTCTGACTATGTGACTTTATTACATGGCCCAATGGCCTCCCCTTAAAGGGGGATAATATTCACCTCTTGGGGTTGATATGAGAATTAAATGTCACATTTAATGGATGTAAACTGCTTAGCACACAGTGCTCGGTATATTCTAAGTAGTCAATAAATTGAGCTATCATTATTATTACCTGGCCATCATTTTTCCTTTCCACTCTAGTCCCTGGTACTATCTTCAACACTAAAACCCATAGTTCTTCTCTACATTCTTACAATGTTCTCTGACAGCCCTTTGGAAGTGTGACTTCACAACTCCTCAAATACTCCACTCCTATGGCTTTCCTGGTCTGCAGCCATGCTTCAGCTCTCACAGGCTGGCAGTGCACGCTGGTGCTCCACAGTTCTGGGGTCTCCATGGTGGTCCTGCTCTCAAGGGTCCAGTAAACATGGTGCTGATGGGGTTTCTCTGCTTCAACTCTGACCCCACATTTCTCTAGCAAAAGCTATCTGTGGTGACTCCACCCCTGTGACAAATCCCTTCCTGGGCCCCCAGGCTTTTCCATACATCCTTTGAAATCAGGGTGGAGGCTCCCAAGCCTCCACAGCTCTGGCATCCTGTGAGCCTGCAAACTTAACACCACATGGATGACGCCAAGGCTTCTGGCTTGAATCTTTCAAAGCTTTGGGTCCAATTTAGTCACAGCTGGAGCAGCCAAAGCAGCTAGGGTGTTGGTTCAGGAAGCAGATTCCTGAGGTGGCCCTTGGCAGCAAACCCATGGAGGGTTCCTAATACCTGTTGCCTGAGACCATTCTATCTGTTCCTAATACCTGTTGCCTGAGACCATTCTATCTCCCCTCCGCCTCTGGGCCTGTGATAGAAGGGCTGGCCCCAGATGTTTCTGCAATACCTTCAGGGCCTTTTGTCCTTTTTCTTGATAAATCCCCTTCTTTTGTACTAATCTCTTTAGCAAACAGTTGCTGGGCTACACCATTGCATTTTTCTCCTGAAAATGTCTCTGCTTCTCTACCACAAGGCCAGGATGCAAACTTTCCAAATCTTTACTCTCTGCATCCCTTTTAATTATACATTCTGGCTTTACATCATGCCTTTTCTGCCATAGCTCAGCTTAGGCTGCAGCAAGTAGCCAAGCAGCTTCCTTAATGCTTTGCTGCTTAGAAATTGCTTCTGCCAAATACCCTGGACGAGCACCTTGAAGTTCACATTCCATAAAATTTTGGGGCACAAACAGAATGCAGCCAAGTTCCTTGCGAGTTCATAGGAAGGGTGATCTTTGCCTCAGTTTCCAATAAGTACCTTCTCATTTACATCTGAGATCTTCTCAGAAGGGCCTTTACTGTCCATATTTCTATCAGCATTCTGGTCATCACCATTTAACCAGCCTCTAAGAAGTTCCAAACTTTCCCTCATCTTTTTGTCTTCTGAGTCCTCCAAACTCCTCCAACCTTTGCCCAACACCCAGCTCCAAAGCTGCTTTCACATTTTCAAGTATTTGTTATGACCAACACCCCACTTCTGGTACCAATTTCCTGTATTAGTCTGTGTTGCTTATAACAAAATATTTGGAACAAAGTTCTTTGTAAGAAAATTAAATTTATTGCTTGCAGTTTTCAAGGCTAGGAAGTCCAAAGTCCAGGAAATATATATGGTGAAGGCCTTGATGGTAGCAACAGTGACTCAGGGGTCTCACGTGGCAGAAATAGCACAGCAGACAGAGAGAGACTCTCACATGGTCTCTTTTTAAAGCCCTCAGAACCACACCCATGACCAGCATTAAACAAGTAGCCATGGCAGGGTCCTTACAATCTAATCACCTCTTCAAGGACCCATCTGTCAACTACCATAATAGGATTTCCCATCCTCAACAGTTACAGCATGGATTGAGCTTCAATGACTTTGGGGGGCCATTCAATCCACTGCAATAAGCTTCATGAAAATTAGGAATTTTGTCTGCCTTAGTCATGGCTCCGTCCTCAGCTCCAATAGAGTACTTGGCACATATTATTATCATAATAAATATCTATTAAATGTTGTTAGTACTTACATTAGTTTTTATTAACAATAATAAAGTATATGGAGTATTACAAACTGCTTTAACATTTTTTTCCAGCTTTATTGAGGTATAGCTGTATATATTCAAGGTGTACAATGTGATGATTTACGTACACATTGTATAAATCATCACATTGTACACCTTGAATAATGATTACCATAATCAAATTAATTAACAAAGCCTTTAGCACACATAGTTACCTTTTTTTTTTCTTTCTTTTTTTTTTGACTGGTAAGAGGATCGCAACCCTCAGCACAGCGTGGTCTGCACCACGCTCAGCCAGTGAGCGCACTGGCCATCCCCATATAGGATCTGAACCCACGGCCTCGGCGCTACCAGCGCCGCACCCACCCAAGTGAGCCATGGGGCCGGCCCCATAGTTAACCATTTTTGTGTTAGTGTGGTGAGGACAGACTGCTTTTAATACTTTATTATATTCACAGCAATCCTAATTTACTTTTTCCCCTTATTTTTATTTTATTTTGGCAGCTGGCCAGTATAGGGATCAAACCCTGGATATTGATGTTATCAGCACCATGTTCTAACCAACTGAGCTAACCATCTAGCCTTACCCACAGCAATCTTATTGGGGGCATTTTTTTGTATTATTATGCTCTCCATTTTATAAATGAAAAACTGAAGCCTAGAGTGGTTAATTGTCTTGCAAATGGTTATAACACTAGAATATAAGGGAACAAGGACTAAAATCCAAGTGTTCTAACTCTACTGTACCATATTTCTGTTGTACAATGAATAAATTTTAAAAACATACCCATATCCATACTAGTTTCAAAGAAATAAAGTTGATTCGGATATGCTAAATGCCTCAGAAACTATCTGGCATATCAATACATAGCCTATAAGCCACAGGCTTCAGATATATCTCCCAGTCGGGCTGGAAGATGAGCTCTGTTGGGTAGAATGTGGTATTATAACACCAAGATCAAGAGTCCAGATTGTCAAGAAAAAAAGATTTATCTCCCAGTGATATGGGAAGGATAAAAGAAAACAAAATAATATATTATAAAAATTACCTGAAAAATCATGTTAGGTATATACTATCCATTACTATTATCCGGGAGGCATCACTTACAGCAGATTACATTGATGGTGATCTACTCAAACTACTGAGTGAAACCTGTTCAACAGCACTAAGATTCCCATGGTGACTTGACACCCTATCAGTCAAGTAGTTCTTGGAGTCATGTCTTCTTGATCTCTACAGCCCTGGCATTTAGTATAGTGGCTGCAACACATTACATACCCCAATATTGCTTATTCAAGAATGAATGAAGGAATGTGAAGAATGTGAACGTACCATAAGAGGGCACTTTACCTTGGTCTCTTCTTGCTCTTCCAGGGAAAACTCCATCAATTTATTTGAAATCTCTTCTGCCTGGTCTTCTCCTAGTTCTGGATTTTTATTCAATTTTGGAACTGTAGTAATGGGACTGCCCAGATATTTCATTTCATTTTCCACCAAGTTTCCATTGTCCTATCAAGTATATTGATAACATTAGAAACTATTCAAGACCCTCACCTTACGTCATACATAAAAATTAACTCAAAATATATATGAGACATAAATGTAAGAGCTAAAACTGTAAAACTCGGGCCGGCCCGTGGCTCACTCGGTAGAGTGCGGTGCTGATAACACCAAGGCCCCGGGTTCGGATCCCACATAGGGATGGCCGGTTCGCTCACTGGCTGAGCGTGGTGCTGACAACACCAAGTCGAGGGTTAAGATCCCCTTACCGGTCATCTTTAAGAAAAAAAAAATAAATAAAAAAAAATAAAATAAATAAATAAATAAAACTGTAAAACTCTAAGAAGAAAACACAGGGAAAAAGCTTCATGATACTGGATTTGTCAATGATTTCTTGGATATGATACCCAAAACACAGGCAACAAAAGAAAAAATAGATAAATTGGTCTTCATCAAAATGAAAAAGATGAAAAAAATGTTCAACATAAGTAATCATCAGGGAAATGCAAGTCAAAATGACAATGAGATACTACTTTACACCCATTAGGATGGGTATTATAAAACAACAGTGAGTGCTTGTGCATTGTTTGTGGGAATGTAAAATGGTACAGCTGCCATGGCTTACAGAATAGCAGCTCCTCAAAAATTAAACAGAATTACCATGTGATCCAGCAGTTTGACTCCTGGGTATATACCCTAAAGAATTAAAAGCAGGGAATCAAACAGATATTTGTATACCTATATTTATAGCAGCATTATTCACAATACCCAAACAGTGGAAACAACCCAATATGTCCATCGAGAGACAAATGGATAAAAAAATGTAGTCTATACACACAATGGAATATTATTCAGCCATAAAAAGGAATAAAATTCTGGGCTGGCCGGTTAGTTCAGTTGGTTAGAGTACAGCCTTATTACACCAAGGTCAAGAGTTTGGTTCCCATACCAGCCGGCCACTGGAAAAAAAAAAAAGGAAATAAATTTCTGGTACATGCTACAACATGGATGAACTTTGAAGACATTAAGCTAAATGAAATAAGCTGGACATAAAAGGCCAATATTGTATGATTCCACTTACATGAAATATCTAGAGTAGCCAAATTCACAGAAACAGAAAATAGAATAGAGGCTATCAAGGGCTGGGAGAAAGAGGGATGGAAAGTTATTATTTAATGGCTAAAGAGCTTCTGTTTTGGATGATGAAGAAATTCCCTATATAGGGATCCAAACTCGTGGCCTTGGTGTTATCAGCACCACACTCTCCCAAGTGAGCCATGGGCCGGACATCAGAGCACAGCCTTATAATACCAAGGTCATGGGTTCAGATCCCCATACTGTCCAGCTGCCACAAAAAAAAAAATGTACTTAATGTCAGGAGATTGTACACTCAAAAACTGTTCAAACTGTACACTCAAAAATTGTTCAAACAGAGGCCAGCCCGTGGCTCACTCGGTAGAGTGCGGTGCTGATAAAACCAAGGCCATGGGTTCGGATCCTATATAGGGATGGCCAGTTTGCTCACTGGCTGAGCGTGGTGCTGACAACACCAAGCCAAGGGTTGAGATCCCCTTTCCGGTCATCCTTAAAAAAAAAAAAAAAAAAAAAAATTGTTCAAACAGTAAATATCATTATATATATTTTACCACAATTAAAAAAAAAAATCACACACACACACACACAAAAGACTATCTAGTAATTTGCCATGTTCCAAGTTTTCTCTCTACTCCAGAAATCAAAAATGTAAAAAAAGACCAATTTTATCTGCTTAGGATGGGATATGTTAAAATGGCTTTCCCATAGGGTTGAGATTAGCACCAAGAATCCAAATCTCTGAAGTATCTCAAGTCCACAGTCTATGAAAAGCAAGTCAATGTGCCTGGGTAAGTTAAGACTCCAGTAGCTAAATGAACAAAAGGCACAATCATTCATGAGAGGAAATATACATATCTAATATTCACATGAAATCACTACTAATCATTTAACGTAAAATAAAATTTGTTTTTTTAGAAATGAGTAACAAATTTATTTAATCAAAGTGTTATACAACACAGGAGCCTAAAATAAAATATTCTACTCTCTAATTGGTAATTTTTCTTAAAAAGATGACAAATCTCATGAGATATGGATTGCTCATGAAAATGTAAATTCTTTTTTTTTTTTTTTTTTTTTTTTTTTTTTTTTTTTTTTTTTTTTTTTTTTTTTTAAAAGGGGACCAGCAACGGGATTGCAACCCTCGGTGTTGCTCCCGCGCCTCGCTCAGCCAGTGAGGGGGAACCGGTCTGTATGTGGGATCCAAACCCTCAGGCGGGAGCGCCACCGCACTTCCCAAGCGGCGCACTTATCCAGTGCGCCACCGGGCCGGCCCGAAAATGTAAATTCTTATAGCCTTTTTTTTGGCAGCTGGCTGGTAAGGGGATCTGAACCCGTGACCTTGGTGTTATCAGTACCATGCTCTTACAAGTGAGCCACCGGCCAGCCCCTCTTACAGCCTTTTTGAAGAGGAATCTGGAATATGTACCAAAATCTTAAAAAATATTTACACCTTAAAACCCAGTAATTATAATGCACTGTACCAATCTTAAAGAGGAAAATCTGAAATGTAAGCAAATATTTATACTGAAGAACTTACATCACAGCATTATTTGTAAAAGCAAAATTTGGATATGACTAAGTGTCCAACAATAGGAAAGTGTTTACATAAATTTTGGTCCATTTATTAGAAAAAAGCATCTGTTAGGGGCCGTCCCGTGGCTCACTCGGGAGAGTGTGGTGTTAGTAACACCAAGGCCGCGGGTTCGGATCCCATATAGGGATGGCCAGTTCGCTCACTGGCTGAGCGTGGTGCTGACAACACCAAGCCAAGGGTTAAGATCCCCTTACCGGTCATCTTTTTAAAAAAAAAAAAAAGAAAAAGAAAAAAGCATCTGTTAAAGAACAATGTGTACTAAGTTTTAATATTAACCAAAAAAACCCAGGAGACATGTATATGTGTGTGTGTATGTGTATATACATGCTATAACCTAAACTTTGTAATACTGCATACATGGTAAAAAGACTGAAAAGAAATAATGGGAAATGTTAACAGTGTTAAGTATTTCTAAGTAGTGGCTATTTCCTTTTTCAAACTTTGCTGTATTTTTTAACAATTTTCACAATGTACAAATAGTACTTTTAAAATCAGGGGGGGAAAAATAAACAAGAAAAAGTATTCTTTACATGAGGCTACTTCAAAAAGTTTGTAGAAAAATAGAATTAAAAGAAAATATGGTAATATTATCAAAGATAATAATCTTTCCATGAACTTTTTGAAGTACCCTCATACTTAGATAATAATGTAGAAGAAAAAAAGACCTTTTTTTTTTAAAAGATGACCGGTAAGGGGATCTTAACCCTTAGCTTGGCGTTGTCAGCACCACGCTCAGCCTATAAGCCAACTGGCCATTCCTATGTAGGATCTGAACCTGTGGCCTTGGTATTATCAGTACCACACTCTCCTGAGTGAGCCATGAGCCAGCCCTAAAAAAGACCTTTTTTAAAGAGATTTTTCTCCTCCTCAAATTTAAACAAATCAAAAGATCAGAGGACAAATGTTTCCTCCCTTTCCCTGCTCAAACTTTACTTCTCCAACCCTTTGTCTCACCCAAGCCACCTTAGAAAAATTCAAAGCCAGAGCTGCTATCCTATTACCCGTAACACCTCAAGTGACCCTTAATAATGATGTTCAGTGACTCACCAGCAGAAAAAGGGGAGACACATAAGGCCCCCCTCGTCTCTTTTGAAATCTCAGGTTCCTGGGTGCCTGCCACTCCAAGGGCTTCAAAGTGTTGTTTTCCTACGTAAGAAAAACTGCATTGGCTGGAGGAAGAGAAGTGTTAGTGGGCCCTGCTAAAAACATTTCATCTGATGAAACCACGAATAACCCTCACGAAACACATTAAATGTAATCAAGTTTGACCCTACATTCTGAAGGTACAAATTATGGTTTGGATTTGACGTATGGCATGTAGATTTACTTTGCATACTAATTTCATGATCAAAGGTAAAAGGAATGGGGGGAAAAGAGAGCCTGACTGGTGAGGGAATGGTGATATTTAAAAAAGTGATTATAAAAAGAGATTAGAAGGACAGTATTAAATAAAGAATAAGCTGATTAGAACAGTCAAAAACATGGGCATATCTTGGCCAAAGTAAGAAAAGAACTGCAGCTATCTTTTATGCATACTGGCCTGGGAGAAAGAATGGGAGGCAGGGAAGGAAAAAAAAGATGGCTATAAAAGGAGATTAGTTGAAAGGATTAGTTAGAGAATTATCTTAGTGATTAGGTGGCTCTGGAGGGGTCAGTTTCAACTTAGAACTGAAGGACAGCCTAAGGCTTAGATAAAAAGGACCATGGCTTCCTTAGAATAAGGGCTAAAAGCTAGATTAAGAGGGAAATAAGGAGAAATTAAGAAAACTACACTTGTATGTAAAGCCATGCAAAGAATCTGTGAACAAGTTACGCAAGTTAACCCTGTTCGGAAAAAAAAAAAAAAAAAAAACAGGTCAAGGGTTCAGATCCCTATACTGGCCAGCTGACAGAAAACAAATTCCTAAATTCCTTACACTACAGTAACAGCAATTTCTGTCCTCATACTGATCAATGAACATGACTGAATATGATAACCCAGTGTGTTGGACGTGAAGCTATAGTAATGCAGTTTGCTTGTCTAGCAAACTGAGCATAACAGCTCTAGTTCTCACAGTGATACCAATGAGTTGCTTCACTCAAAGGAGTAAAACTGCTAATACATAAATTTCCAGTAAACACTCACATTTTCTTTATTTGAGGATGAGCTACATGTTGCATCTGTTTTTCTATGGCCATGGTCCAAAGCATTCGGAGTGCTACAAAGAAGGCGTACCTAAAAGAAATTGTTTGCTGAGAACATCCAGCATCTTCAAGCCACAGGTGAGTTGGAAACCCTCTGCCTCCCACCTGAGAAAACAATCCAAACCCACAAAAGAGGGGCTACTCACTGGGCTGCATTTCATAAGGTGCTGGTGATGATTCCTGCAGATTAAAACAAACTTCCAGTCAGGTAAGCTCCAAATACTGTTTGGTTATTCTTCAGAGGAGGATCCCAATTTTTCCTTTCTTCCATTCTACAAGTCCTATTGCTAGCTGATGTGTCTCTTCCAATAATAATACATAGGGTATTCTCCGTGGTAAATATCAAAACTCAAGAGACATCCTGGGGATAAGGCCCACATTTCATTTGCATAACCAGATATAGAGATATGCATCAAAGGTGAATGAGTTTGTCCTACAATTTATGTAGACAATATTTACAATTTACTAATTTTCCAGCATTGACTATTGGGGGCTAATATTAATTTTTTTTTTTTTAATGAATTTCTACCCTTCCTCCCAGGATTTCATCCATTCTGTACAGGTTAGGACATTTAAAGCAATTCAAAGAAAATATGAGCAATTCAAATGAACTTTTCACATGTATTGACAAAAATAGTCATGAAAAGCCTTCCCTAGTGCACCTAATTCACTTAAACATCAAAGGATAAACTCCTAGAAAGATTAAATAAAACAGTCAAGTAGAAAATTTGCAATAAATTTAAGAAGGGTTGAACTAAAATTTGTTTTTATTCCTGAGTAGTCACTGACTGACATTCTGTCATCTCCAACAAAGAATCCATAATAGAAATAACAATAAACATTATAAAATGCTTTTTTTTTTGTCTTTTTTCGTGTCCGGCAACGGATCGCAACCCTCGGTGCTGCGCCCGCACCTCGCTCAGCCAGTGAGCGGGAACCGGTCTGTATGTAGGATCCGAACCCTCAACGGGAGTGCCGCCGCGCTCTCAAGTGGCGCAGTGTAGCAGTGCGCCACCAGGCCCGCCCATAAAATGCTTCTTATGTGCTAGATACACATTTTCATTTAATTCTTACAATAGACATTTATGGGATGTGCTATTACTATCTTCATGTTACAAATAAACTGAGGTCCAATGAAGTTAAAAAATTTGTCAGAGCTGGTGAAGTAGTAAGCTACTGGAATCCACACACTCTATTCCAGACTCTACACTCTGCACTTTTAATCACTTACACATAGCACCTCTCACATGCAAATAAAAGCCTGCACATAAGTGCAGTATACCATTTTCCTTCAGTTTTAAAGATTGTGTGTGATGGTTAAAGTAAATAGCCTTCATTTTCACTATTTAGATCTGGGAAACTTAATTGCCGTTCAAGGTAAGGATCTAGGCCCTGAAGCCAACTTATACTGTAGTGGATTGAATTATGTCCCCCCAAAACTCAATGAAGCTTGAATTGTATCCCCCAAGTTTTATACATTAGAAACTTTGGGCCGGCCCGGTGGCGCACTGCTACAGTGCGCCGCTTGGGAGCGCGGCGGTGCTCCCGCCGAGGGTTTGGATCCCACATACAGACCGGTTCCCGCTCACTGGCTGAGCGAGGTGCGGGCGCGACACCGAGGGTTGCGATCCCGTTGCCGGACACGAAAAAAGACAAAAAGGAAAAAAAAAAAGAAACTTAGCCCCCACTGTGACTGTTAACAGGGTGGGAACTTCTATTATGGTAATTGTAAGATGGGCCTTGAAGAGGTGATTGGGTTGTAGGACTGTGCAGTAATGAATGGGTTATAAATGGTGGTGAGAGGCCGGCCCGTGGCTCACTCGGTAGAGTGTGGTGCTGATAACACCAAGGCCACGGGTTCGGATCCTATATAGGGATGGCCGGTTTGCTCACTGGCTGAGCGTGGTGCTGACAACACCAAGCCAAGGGTTGAGATCCCCTTACCGGTCATCTTTAAAAAAAATAAAAATAAAAATAAAAATAAATAAATGGTGGTGAGGGGCATGGTTCTGAGGGCTTTAAAAGAAGAGGAGAGTCCGTCTGTCTCTCTCTCTGCTTCCACCATCTTGCAACGTGAGACCCCTCGGTCACTGTTGCCACCACCAGATAGACTTTGGATTTCACAGCCTCAGAAACTGTAAACAATAAATGTCATTTTTTCTTTATAAATCACCCAGCTCCACATATTTTGTTATAAGCAACAAAAACGGACTAATACATACACCAAAGTGAAACCTTTTGTACTTTGCAAAGTCTGCATAGGATAAAAACCCTGTGACCAGTGCTGAAAGTCTTTAGCATGGGGTTCATTCAGTAACAGAACTTACATCCCAGCTAACTGTACTTCCTGAGGTCCTGAAGTATCCGAGTGACCTGCAATCAGATATGAAAAATCAGTGAGAGGAGTTATTCTTGTCCATGCATCCTTTGGATTTTCTTTATTACCAGTAAGCCATATTAAATTCAAAGGCTGAGTTTTTTGGAACATAAAGCTCTTGATTGGTACCTATTTCAAGGTATAAGGTACAATTTCATGGAAAAAAGAATTTACGGGCCGGCCCGTGGCTCACTCGGGAGAGTGCGGTGCTGATAACACCAAGGCCCCGGGTTCGGATCCCATATAGGGATGGCCGGTTCGCTCACTGGCTGAGCGTGGTGCTGACAGCACCAAGTCAAGGGTTAAGATCCCCTTACCGGTCATCTTTAAAAAAAAAAAAAGAAAAAAGAATTTACATGTGTCACTGATAGAAACAATGCTGGGAAGCAATACACTATGCTAATATAGAGAGATTTTCTCATGAGTAGAGAAGAAAGCTTATCACTCAGCAAATCTGAAATTAGAACAAATACTAGAATGGCTGACTAATAAAACATATTCCATTTGGGCACAGACCTATAAAAACACACAAGAATTCGTTGACAAAGTATTTCTTTATGCTGGTTTCTTTGCTGAGATTAGACTAGGACAAAAAACTTCTCATATCTTAACTACTACACTTTCATTCCCACCATTAATCAGCCAACAAAATGTATTCTTTTTTTTTAAAAGGATGACCGGTAGGGCCGGCCCGTGGCTCACTCGGTAGAGTGCGGTGCTGATAACACCAAGCCAAGGGTTGAGATCCCCTTACCGGTCATCTTTTTTTTAATTGAATTGCAAGATATATCTAAAATGTTTTTTAAAAAATAGATCAATGTAAACGTTTTTTATTTTTTTTTTAAAGATGACCAGTAAGGGGATCTCAACCCTTGGCTTGGTGTTGTCAGCACCACGCTCAGCCAGTGAGCGAACCGGCCATCCCCATGTGGGATCCGAACCCGGGGCCTTGGTGTTATCAGCACCGCACTCTACCGAGTGAGCCACGGGCCGGCCCAACAACAAAATGTATTCTTTCTTTACTAACTTTTTCATGCAAAGTGACTCCTACTAGTATCATCTTCCTATTCCCATTGACTTGATTATTCTCAAAAATCCTCTAGTTAACCACAAAATTCCAACTCTCTAGGTAGGCTCTCCATCTACTTTTACCACCTTCCATCTCTATCTTACTACCCTATCCTTCCCCTTAAAAGTTATTCTTCCCTTTGAGATTTTTACCTCCCTTCTCTTTATCAGTTTCATCAAGGTCTTTAGAAGTGGTAAGCTGAGCAGCAGACATCTCTCCACTGCTAAGATTCGAAAGATCAAGGCAACGTTTTGGAGTTCCTCTGTTGAGACATAATGGTACATTAAGATTTCCGGGCCGAGCCCGTGGCTCACTGGCTGAGCGCGGTGCGGCCGGTCTCAAAAAGAACAAAAAAAAAAAAAAAAAAAAGATTTCCATTAGGTTGTAATATCCTTAAAAGGCAAAGGTCATGTTATCCTTTTCATTTGAAACACCCCTCGATGGCTATTACATAATCTGAACAGTGTGCAAATAAATCTAATTGCTTTTTGGAAACATCTGACTTGGCTGAGAAAAATCTCCCACCTTTTCTCTGAGACTCCAATAGTCTGTACCTCATTTTCTCCTCACCAACATGTCGAGACAGTATCTTTTTTTTCTAAATGAGGTCCAAAGTTTATTGACGGAGGAGTATCTTTAACTCATATCCTCTCTCCTGTGCACCGTGAACACACAGATTTGATTTCTCCCTGGAGCTCCTAGTACTTCTCAGGTACTTCTTTTTGTTTGCTAGCTGAGGCATCACGACATGGCATAACCAGAATTTAAAGTACAAGTACAATAACACTAACATTAATAGTAATAAGTGACCGACTCGGGCTGGCCGGTTAGCTCAGTCGGTTAGAAGGTGGTGTTATGGGACAGCCCGTGGCTCACTTGGGAGAGTGTGGTGCTGATAACACCAAAGCCAGGGGTTCGGATCCCTATATAGGTATGGCCGGTTGTCTCACTTGGGGGAGCGTGGTTCTGGCAACACCAGGTCAAGGGTTGGGATCCCCTTACCAGTCTTTAAAAAAGGCGCGGGGGGGGGGGGGGGGGGGGGGGGGGG